TATATAGTTAGAAATTACCATGTATGATACATAAATATTGTAAGCGCTTATAAGTTTGTTTTGACCGATATATTATAGTTTTTTACTCCTCGTATCGAGTGTTTCATAATAGAAACTCGTTTCGCATGAGTAAGTGTGTACAGCAATATAACATATACATTATAGTATTATACATTTAATCTGACTTAAGTCACTGTAGAGTCGTGTAGAGCTTATGTGTAATATTCCCGCGAAATTGCAGTGTCAGATCAAAACGAAGTCCTTAGAATATATAACCTGAATACAAGCCGTCGTGCACAAGAAATATAAATACCCTYGGCAAAACAGAAGATTAAAAACATTATTAGTTGACAGTTGTACCATAGATGATTTTTTTTCACGGGTTTCARCCCATTTCTTTCAACAGTTCGCATATATTAGGTATCTCATAATTCACTATTGAACATAAAATATAATAACCAAGTGTAATGTGTAAATGCATAATAAATATCCTTGTTAATAATTGTACCTACATACGATTTCTTATTGTTATATTATGTTAATAATTTATATTTTTATTCTTTATATATTTTTTTTTAAATATACAGTGCTAACAGGTCTATTTGACTAATGCTATAACTTGTTTTCTATACAATATTTTTAAGTTTTTTTTTTTGTAATGATTTCTAGAGCTTTGCGCTATCACTAAAATGTTTATATGATATATTTTATTTATTTTTTTAGAAATAAAGTTAAATAATTTAAGTTTTGTATTACATTWTTTTCTTATAATCCAAGATAGGTATTTTATAAATAGGTTTTAAAAACAGTTTTGGTGTTTAAAACTTTTAATTTGGTTACGCCATTAAYTTTTATACAATTTTCAAAGTTTGTTAAAATTCAAATTGATTGTTTGCTATAATCTGTGTTTTTTTATCATTATAAGGTGGGTAATCRATAATAAATACATGTATTGTATCATTATTTAACATGACCACGTGATGCATAACTTAAATGCATCGAAATCAAAAAAACCATAAGTCAAGTAAGGAAATTCGGATATGCAGATTCAAGAGCATTAAACCGGAAAGATATCAATAACATGTATAGAGGTCATAGATCAGTTTCCTTTCAACTAAATAGTATAAACCTAAAACCACTGTGTAAGGTATAACAATATAAAAGTWATAGAATATAATATTCTAATATTGTTCATTATTTTACAATACATTTAAATCAAATATATTGTATATACTTAATGAGATTATTTTATTATTATATAAAAAGATTTTAAAATATTTTTAGGATGCCATTCGATTACGAGAARGGCGTTGTATTTATAAATAATGTTTATAAATATTTATTTATTATATATAGGTACGTCATAATGTATTATATGAGAAAAAAAAACTTTGACTCGGTACTAAGTAAGACAAATGCTTGCTTAGGTCCGTAATAGGTTCTTGTCAATTTATCATTGACGAATGACGAGTGACTAAGAACACATAACCATAGGACCAGTAACTGCACATAATATTATATATTATATTATATACGTTCCTAACACAGCAGAATTATTATAATAATATTATATATATATATATATATATATATATATATATATACCTATGAACGGAAATGTGAAAAACAACAGCCGAGATCAACGATCGTGATTCGTGATAGATCGGAAATCACGGTCGTTCATACTTAACAACAATATTACATTCATACATTTATAAGTACGACGGTGGTACGGAAGAGCGGGGGATTAATTGACGTGACTGAGCGTTTGTATATTATTATTATGGTATGAACGACAAAATGTGGTGCGTAATAATAAAAAAAAAACCGACACTGTAAATCATGGCATGCTAGAAGCGTGACATAAACCGACGGACTAAAATCTAAACCATATTAAACTGCTAAACTAAAACACGAACACRTGTATTAGGTACGCGTACTCGTATCAACACGATGAGTAGAATATTAAATTATCATTATTTCTAATACTTTCCTACTCATCTCACCGCACGCTAAACGAAGACGAACACTGCAGTTTGATTTAATTTGTCCGGAAATAAATACACTGATACGTACTTACACCGTGGCGAATTTATAGTTGGAACGTTGTTGATAATAATTACGAATATTATATTTGGCCTCTTAGGTATTAGCTGGTGTTGTTGGTAAGACCTTTTGGTACCACTATATGATTATAATAGATTATTAAACAGTGTTAAATTAAAATGTAACGATTGTCTTGTACTTTTGTAACGATTTTTAAGACGGTATAATGAGTTTAGAAATAAATAAATATATAAATAATAATACTATAGGTGTATAATTGAGCAGTTTAATCTGTTTAGATGTGTATTGGAGAACGTGCTTAAAATATATCGTATTTGCGCCTATATTGAATGATAAAGCGTTCAAAAATATATTAATATATTAAGAAATATTGAACTTAAAATGATAAGGTTAGGTAGATAAATTCATACAGAATACATGTATATTATACATAGAAGTTGGTAATTACTGAAAAATGATAAACTGTACCAATGGTGCCAATAAGGATTTAAAATGTAGAAAATCTTTTAGACTGCTCTTTGCTATACGCCTATACATGCACATGTGCATCGCGAGTGTAAAAAATAAAATACTCAAGGTACGGTTTATTAGACATAAACACATACCGTTTAGAAATAAATCCTTGGCGAATTATGTTTACCTGTAAAATAGCAAGTCAGCGAACAGTACATAATATCACATATTATACGTTTAATATATTAAATAATATAATAACTAATATTAGATATATCATAGAGCATCCGTGGCTTCGGCCAAAGATCTTTGTAATAGTCTACGCTGCAAAGCGGAAGTGGTGGAGGACAAAAGCGTTTATTAAGTATAATATTATGACACGTAGATAACTGAAGAAGTGTGTCACGTGCCGATAATTGTGCGTCCACTTTTATTATGGCCTATGGGTATTGAAATCTGAATCAATTGTTGAGATTATAATTTATGTTATTATTACACAGACTTCTAAATAGATACTACCAGCTGGTACTTAATACATTACAGTCGAACAACTCTTGTTATATAATTAATCTCGTTTCACCATTTTCTCGGTTGAAATATTGACACGAATATCGGAATATGTGCCTAAATAATTTTATGTTTATCTTTGGTATTTTCGTTATGAAATTATGTAAGTAGTTGCAAATTTTATATCCGCGGACAAGTTTTCTAATTCAAATCATGACGGATGAGTTTTAATTATTTTGTATTAGTTTTATTCAGAATTCATCGAGTAGTGTAAAAATCTGTGCATTATTATTGTTAGTGCGCGTCATTAATAAAATCAATTATTGTTATTACCACAGGTGCATCCGGAGCCAGAGATTCCGCATGTCCCAGGATATGTCCGCAGGGAAGTTCCGAAGAACCGGTGTGCGGTTCGGACGGTATAATTTATCCGAACGAGTGCGAAATGAAAAAGAAGACTTGCGGGAAAGGTGAAAAATTATGACATAATAATATTATTATTATACTTATATTTACCTGTATACCTACCACATATAATTATTTCTGTTATTACGCTCGATGAATATAATATGTACCATTATCGTTATAATCAAGTCCCTGAATCATTGATAATAAAATTATACTCATACCAATCGCCCTCTTTTTTCTCCTTTGCCGCGTGTGCACTGCAGGCATAACCGTGGCAGAGAGCTCAACGCAGTGTCTGCGGGCGTACGGATCGAATTGCGAACACCGCTGTGGCAAAGAACAGGATCCGGTGTGTGGTACTGACGGCCGGACGTATCTAAACAGATGTATGATGCAAGTGGAAATATGTAGGTCAGTACGCCGTATATTATATCAATAATATATTAAACCGTCAGCTGTCTGTGAATATGTATAGCATAGAACAGTGGTGTACACAAACTTACGTAGGGGATTAAAAAAAATAAATATTAAAAAAACTAATAATAATATACCTATATAAGGTACCTACTTTGTCTTAAAGTGAAAGAAAAAACGATACACGTAGGTGTCTATTCATACGTGGATGGTTRTTGAAAATTAATTTTTGACAAATCTTATCTAMACACATCGTTTATTGATGAATTTTTTTCATTGTTTAAACATTTTTAGGGAGAGTTACGACACCGCGTCCYCTCTTGGAYACGCCACTGATATAATATGTACATAAACAAGCACGAACAGGGTATTTGGCTGATTTGAAAAACAAACAGAACATAGCTACTTATAATCTTTCATAATATAATATTTACAAGAAAAAACGAGTGAATATGTACTATCTAATATTTATAAAACATAATACTCTGGGTGTTGATAACTATAAACTAGTGAAATTAACTCCAACTAAATTTACACCAATTCCCTAAATATCATCATGTTTTTAGTAAATACCTATATTTATTTAGAAAGAATAATTCTCAAAAATAATTTATTTGTAATCCCATTAAAATTGTTCTAAACCAAAGCCAAACTGACAATTTCTTCACACGCTTATGACAATAATCRTGTATCCACAGATTTTTAATATCTTTATATTAATGAAAAATAATTTTATGATATCGAATCTTACAATTGCGATGATCTACGATTTATCTTATGATGCAAATATTATAAATTATAATCTTGTGCATGTCTGTTTTTCACAGGGTCGGCACGTCAATGTCACACTTGGGACCATGCAACAACATATCAGCCCACAGGGAAAACTGTCCGGTAAACTGTGACCAGGCACCAATGGATGGACCGATTTGCGGATCCGATGGAAACGTTTATAGGAACACTTGTCAGATGAAACTTTTCACWTGCGGGTAAGGGTCTACGTAGATATATGCAGTGTATAATAATTAATAGCATATAGATTTGGTGTTATAATATGTATGATTTATATTATTTATATATACGAGAAAAAGGCGATTCACCAAACATGCTTTTTATTGAGTACTAATATGTACCTATTACCTACCATAGTTTTTCTAATTAAGTTTTTCCTGAACGGCTGAGCAAGTTAACACATCTATAGTATTAATTTGAATGATGACGTTTCTAAGCATCCAAACATTTGTCGAATATTTTTTATTCTGGTGTAGAAAAAACCTGCAGGGAAATGGTGTGCCTATACATATTATATAATAATATACTATGAACCTATATTGTACATATAGGTATTATATACCTATTAAATATTTCATTTTCCTGATAATAGTGACCAGGAATAATGAAGTTTTAGGGAACACGAGAACATAATAATTATTTTTGTGGCAGACAAGGAGTGGTGAGGACATCCAAGAAACACTGTCAGACGACCAGACACTGCCGAGAATCGTGTTGGCGGGTATCGAAGCCCACTTGTGGGTCGGATGGCAACATCTACAGCAACGCGTGCCGAATGAAGTCGAAAAACTGTGGCAAACACGTATTTGAGGTGCCCATGGCGTTCTGTCTAAGCCAAGAACGTAACCGGGTCGGTTCAGCTAACGCGTGCCCAGTGAACTGCGACAAAGAAAAGGAGCGGCTGACTTGCGGTTCCGATGGCAACGTTTAYCGTAGCGAGTGCGARATGAAAATGCTCAACTGCGGGTGAGAGCGGAATAAAACGAATAATAACCTGACCTGGCCCGACCAGACGAATGCCCTAATAATATCTACTTAATCGAACTCACATTATATATGCGAGGTGTTAAGTTGGGTTAGGTTAGGTTAGGATTTCGAGATTTTCTTTTTGGTACCCATACTTAGATGGCTCAACATTTCCCGTTAACCATTTTTGTTTAACAGACAACAGACCAAGAAGAAGGTGACTAAGGTAGATTTGGAAAAGTGTAGAGCAAGGATCAACAAGTGTAACAAGGGCCAGTGTCCAGATGATGTGGACCCGATTTGTGGAAACGATGCTCAGAATTACAAAAATCAATGCCAATTGGACCAGGCAACTTGTTTGTACGTACTTATACAATACACTACGCCGCTCGCTTATTAACCATCAAATATACCTAGATAAGGTGTAGGTGTGACTGTATAATGAAAAGTAACGGAATTAGGTAAAGCGCTAAAAATAAGAATTATTGCTGCCGTTGAAAAAATCGGCACTTATATAGGTTTTTTATTATCAACATGCGGCAATGGTGACTTGTGTGGTTTTTATATACATATACTGTACGACTTTTAAGTTCATTAATCATAATAATTAAGGATAATATACAATAATTGATGATTGACACGTGTGTGCGCGATACCGCCGAGTTCGATATAATACATATTAATAGAACCCGACAATCCGCGAAGTTGAGCGTGAAGTCATACATTATTAGATACTGAATAATAAATTAATATAATATTTGCGAACCAGCCGTGGGTGACATTGGGTAGTGTCTGTAAATGTATTATGTTAAGTTTCAGGTCTTAAGAAAAAAAAAAGCTATAAATTATTTAAATTTTAAAATAATATTTGTTATACCTATAGTAATACTGGTGTTTATAATCAATGCGGGTAGGTACCTAATGAATACAAACCGTTTTAGTTGGTACAGATACCGATTTTTTTTATTAAGTAATTTCAGTTACTAAATATATGATTTGCTTATATTTTAGAACGTGTATGAATAGTTTGAAGCTCATTTCATGTTTATCTTATAGTTTATAATTTATCATATAATGTAGTAACTGCGCTACAAGGCTCCCGACATGATTACAGCAAAGTCTAGGAAAAATTAATATGTGCGACACTATCCGTATACATAGTGCTGCTATATTATTGTCAGTAAAATTCGTCGTGCTGTTTTATTTCAGGAGAGGAATACAAATGGCACACTTGGGCAGGTGCTCGTCTCTGCTGTCCACCGAAAAATGCCCAACGAGCTGTGAAAACGAACGCGAAGAACCGGTGTGTGCGTCCGACGGCAACGTTTACAGGTCGGTAGTATTCACTGTTGTATGTTGTATATTTTGGTACTTGATGCCTAAACCACCTACAAATTATAAGGTACATAATACGATGTAAGTACAATTAACACGAATTTAGAGATTGGCATGCAGACAAACAGTGGCTATAGGTAATTTAACGAATATTAAATCTGATCGTTTTACGGATCTAGTGGATTATAATATCGATTTATATTTCAGTTCCTATATAGGTACTAATTGAAGAACTACTTTGAGAAATATTTCTACTACAATCCATTACTTTTACTTTCCCCGCCATCAAAACGAATAACTCAAGTATAAAAAGAAACATGGGATGATGTCAAACTGTCTGTTTTAATGTTTTCTCTCTCTTGTCCATGTGCAACATAAATAAAAGGCGTTTAGGCAGTCTAAGTGAGTAGAACTCGCT